TGTGCTGTCAGAGTGTGTCTCTACAGGGGTTGCATGTATCAGTTTGCGAGTTTGGGGCATCAGGCCTGCGGGCATCAGTCAGTGTTTGAGAATCAGTTATCTGCGGGTATCAGATTCAGTCTCTGGGGACAGTGATTTAGGGATAATGATCAGTGTTTGAGGACAGTGTGTATTCAGCTTATCGACCGTGTGTTGTTATGCCCAGCTGTGTGTTGTGTATTTATTTTTAGCTATTATGCTGTCCGTTTATCTGTTTATTTATTTCCTTATAGCTTTATTTATCTTTTTACTAGGGCAGTTTTAGCACAATTGCTTCCGACCTAGTAGATATTCCTCAAGCATTTTGGACAAGAGGTCGTCGGTTCAATCGATCCGAGGATCTGGTTGACGGACAGCCAGTGTTTCATTCTCTACCCCTAGTTGTTAGAAGAAGGCCAAGAAGACGCAGTGTGTCTGAGCAGAGGTTACCAGAACAGTGGTCTACCCTAGCAGTGAACAGTCGGGCTGAGGTTTTAGTTTCTGCCATAGAAATACACATACCAGTCAGTCAGCAGGATCAGCAGAGTGTAGCCAGAATGGAGGAAATGATGCGTCAGCTCCAAGAGAGCATGAAGCAAATGCATGAGGACGCTATCCGCCAAACGGAATTCTCTAAGCAGCAGGCCGTAATCATGGCCCAACAGGCGGAGATAATTACCCGGCTCTAGCAGCAAGCCGGAGCTTCAGCCTCACATCCAGTCCCTCCCCCACCAGGGATCCCGTTACCAGAGCATACACCAACTGTCCAGAATGTCTTGCCAAACACCCAGAACACCTTACCCAATGTCCAGAACATCCAAGAGGACACAGACCTTCCAACGGGGCCAGCTCCGCTCCCGCTTCCGCCTTAACTATCCAAGACCCATACACCCAACCACCCGGACTCTCCCTTCGAGTTCGAAATAGACCATACAGCTCTAAAACTAAGCAAGCTCGAGAGGCTTTTCAAGAAATCGCAAGGGGTAAAGGCTATTCCGGATATCGAGGACGGATATACCGATGTGGCCGTAACATTGCCAGATAGATTCAAGATGCCGCAGATTGATCGTTTCGACGGATCCAGGGATCCCATGGTCCACCTCCAGTTATTCTCAAATATACTGTGGCCAATGGGCCTAACCTGACCACAAAAGCTTTCGCTGTTTGGCCGAACCCTGTCAGGTGTGGCCGCTATCTGGTACGCGAAGTTGGAAGATGAGGTAAAAAGAAGTTGGGATGAAATGGCCGAGGCCTTTGTCGCACAGTACTCATACAATACCTAGATCGAGATTACGACTCGTGATCTCGAAACAACGAGGCAGGAGCCCAAAGAAACTTTCTCAGATTTCGTAACTCGGTGGAGGGCAAAGGCATCGATGATGACTTTGAGGCCCACTGATAAGGACCAAATCAGGATGATTGTGCGCAATCTCTAACCAAAATTGATGCAGAAGATGATTGTACTCCCCTTCCCCACCTTTTCGGATCTACATGAGATGGGGGTACAAGTCGAGGATGCGATGAAGCAAGGTCTGATTGACCAGGACAGGGAGCAACCCCGGAGAACATTTAACCGCAACAATAATGTAGGCCTGAGTGGCGCTACAACCGCAAGAGCTTTGGAGGTCAGCATGGTCGCCACCATTCTTCCAAGGCCCATGGCAGCCACACCCTTCTTCGGTGCATCCGGAAGTAATACCCAAACCACTAAATACCAGCCCAGAGGCCAAAGAACCTTCACCCCACTGTGCATATCACCAGCAGCACGGTCACGACATTGACCAATGTTTCAGGCTGCGTCATGAGATTCAAGACCTCATTGACAAAAATGTGATTCTACCTCCAGAGAAACCTAGTGTCACAACCAATCCACTCCCTACACACAACCAAGCTCCACCTCCCAAAAGAGTCAATCTTATCCAGACTGGGGTCGTGTCTTACGATCCTAGCATCTGTATTACTCCTACCCATCTACCTAAGCCGGAGGTGCTCCTTCCCGATTGCACTGACTTCTTGTGCATATTGGACATCTCTACAACCCAACCTGAGCCAGTGGTGGCGACTGAGGAAGACAGCGCAACAGAGGTTGCAGAGGAGATTGGAATGGTTGAGACAGGGTTTGAGCAATCTGGAAACTTTGCTGGGGAAACCTACGACCTAAGTGAGTACATCCTGTCAGTGGGCCAATCTGAGCCAAGTGTAGGGCTGCCAGAAAAAGCAAAACTATGTGTGATTCAGGGGGACAGATTTGAGCAAGGAACGGACAATCTGACAACTATCGAGGAGGACTTTGCCAACCTACAGTTTTTCGATGACCAAGAATTAGGGGGCGCGACAGTCAACTGGTTTGATTATGAGGAATCAGCAGAGGCCACTGGGTGACTGGATGATCAACCGGATGTGGTGGAAAAGTCCCAACCTAAATAGGGCCCGCCAGGGGCGAGAGTATCAACTGTGGCCGGAAGGGCCGGAAGTCAGATTACATTGCCGGAGAGCGCCGATACAAAGAATTTCGCTCAGGACAGAAGCATTGTGAATGCAGAGAAAGTTGAACAACAAACTGCACTGACACAGGCAGAACGACAGGGTTCTAAGAGAACCGGGAAAGCCAAAATCCATGAGGGGATCGGAAGTGCTGTGGGCACAAGAACAGAGGATGCTGTGAGCATGCAGGCTGAAAGTGCTGTGAGTACAAACGTGCTCGAGCCAGACAGGTGCCTTTTGAATGCCAACGGAATGTGGTGGGAAGACGATGACTTATGTCTTGCCCACACAGACGAAGACTGGGGAAGCAATCAACCCGACGACACCTGGTACCTCGATGAGGTTGATCACATGACAAGAAGCGGGCGGTACTTCAAGCCCCGGCACCTAGACCAACCCGAGGCATCTGGGAAGGATAAAGAAGCTGAGAAACAGAAGGAGAAACAGCTTGAAGAGGAGGCTGTACTGAAACAGCTGAAGAAGATACAAGTAGACATCTTCATCTGGGGACTGCTTATGGCGTCGTGAGTACACAGACAGGCTGTCTTATCTGCCATGGACAAGGCCAAACTCTCTATAGATACTACACCAGAACAGCCAGTTGGGCTGGTTTTTCCGGGAGGAGATTCCTCGGCATTAACCTTTTCAGACAAAGAACTACCACCTGCGGGCACAAATCACAACAAACCCCTCTACGTTTCCGTGGAATGTAGAGACAAGTGGATACCGGTAGTACTTGTTGATACCGGGTCCGCCATCAATGTCTGCCCAGCCAGAATAGCGTATGCAGTTGGGTTGAAGCCCGCGGACTTCGTGCCGACTGCTCAGGTGATCAGAGCATATGATAATACTACCAGGGAAGTGATGGGGACTGTCAAAATTCAGACCGACAGCATGAAGTAGACTTTCACGTCTTAGAAGTTCCTGCGACTTTCAATCTACTCTTGGGGCGGCTGTGGTTGCACCAAGTAAAGGCAGTCTCTTCCACTTTACATTAGATGTTGAAGTACCCTCACGGGAAGGGGGTGGCTATTGTCTTCGGGAATTCATCAATCCATCCACCGCCGGAAGTGTCCACACCAGTCTTGGAAATCGAGCATGGCACTGAGGATGTATTCTTATCAGGGTTCACTTTGGCTGAGGCTCGAGTGGTGCGAAATATTATGGCTGTGAATGAAGGGGTGTACGTCAGTGCTTAATCCGTCTACCTTATGAACAAGTTACAACACATCCCCGGGATGGGATTAGGAAGGAGCGGCCGGAAGGGCGTCGCAGCATTGGCCGAAGTGCCACACAACCCTCATACCTTTGGCTTGGGTTATATGCCCACCAAAGAGGACTGGATAAGGAAGGGTAAAGAGATGGCTGGGAGAGCCAGAGCAAAGAAGGCTGGGAAGCCTTTTGAGTTGATGCATAGGCCCATTCAGGGTACCCTAAACGGACGCTTCGTCCGGAAGGGGGAGGACTTTCCGTTTTGTGGCTTCCCAGAGCCATGGCTAAACACGGAGAAGAAACGCGTGCCAGGTTTCGAGATCTTCTTCGACCTGCAACTACCCGGGGATGATATTGCCAAAGAGCAGACAGACCCATCAACTGAGATTGGGCAGTGTAAGGCAGTGGATTCCGAAGGCGCTGAAATTGAAATGGGGGTAGCGCTGAATGCAAGAATATTTTTATTATGGAGAAATTGTTATTTCTATACAGAAATTTTTATATTATTATGCAATTATTGGTTTATTTTTCATTTTTATATTTAATACAGGTAATTTTAAAATTTTTAATAATTTTATTATAGTTTTTTTTTTTTTGGCAACGGCACCACACTGTCGCAAAAAAACATTAGAATTAAAATCTATTTTTTTGGCGACATAGGCAATGCCGTCGCAAAAGAAATTGGCAACAGAGGTCATGCCGTCATAACAGAAAAACATTTCGCGACAATATTTTTTTTGCCGTCTTAAATAAAACTTTTAGCAACGGTACAACATTATCGTTGCAAAAGGTCTCAATTTTTTACATATTATAGGCGATAGTAAAATGCCGTCACAAAAGGCCACATTTGCTATTGAAAAAAAAAAGGTGGGCTAAAACGTTTTAACAACGCCCTCTGTTGTGACCCCCCAATTTGTCGTCGCTAAAAGTTTTTTACTGCCACAAAAAACTGAAATTTTTGTAGTGTTAACTGAGTGCTATGGATTACTTAAGCTGAATTTTACTTTTGTGAATCTGAAGAATGTGGTAATAGAGCTCATCAGACATTGTCATTGAAGGCTAGAAATTTATTGCCCATATGTCACATCATTTAATTTCTTAGAGATAGAATGCTTGGATTTGAATAATGTACCATCTATTGTTGATACTGCTCTTGACTTCCATGGTGATGGTTTCTGTTGTGCTCGTGGTTAGTATCAAGATGTCAAAATGATTTTTGAGAAGGTCCGTCATGCTAAGATCATTACAATGTCTACTAGGACTATTCTGGTACGATATTATCTCCTTATTGAAGAACTTAGTGTACAATCTACATGGTAGCAATTTGTTCACTGCTTTATCATGATTAATTTAAATAAAAGGATCAACTTGTACAGTTTGAGAGTGCTAAGTTTCATTATCCAAAACGTGGTTAGAAGAAAACAAATCTCGCAATTTGTATTGTGTTATAACATTCCAACTATGTCTTCTATCTAAGCCTAACCCCATTCTAACCCGTCTTGAGTATTTGGCACACAACATGTTCTTATGCCGCATATCAAAGATTTGTTGTCCTGGCAAATTGATTCGACATAAATTGTTAGGAAAAAAAAAACAAGGAATACTCTAAAATTTTATTATACGAATTATGTAGCGTTAGCACACAATTATTGTTTGTCTGGTTGTTTCAATATAGAATGTTGTTATTGTTATTACTCCATCCTAACTTATCCCTTTTAACCATGAGCAATCAAATCAATAAGAGTTAGCTTTATATGTGACTAGTGATAAGTGCAAAAACACTAATGAAGGAGAAAAATTATTCTAACAGTTATTGGATGTAATAATTACTGAATGGAAATAGGGTAACAATTATTGGAAAAGTAAAAAAAGACTTGGCACCGTTCATACAAACTGGTGTTTTAAGTTACATTTTCCAATTTGCCTAGATTTTCACTATATGGGAGTTAATGAAAAGTTATTGCCCAGTTTTGAATTGGAGGTGCTTCGTTCTTAAGATGATGTTGACAAAGTGGAACTTCCCTAAGATTGCTAGGTTGCTGAGAAATTCCCCTAATTTGAAGATGTTTGATATACACTTATGTCCTGGCAGTGATCCTCTTCATGTTGTAGGTTCACTCACTTCATATATATATATATATATATTATGTTTACTCTTATTTTCATTGTGGATATTATATGATTTGAATTGTATTTGACCTAACTTGCACTTTGAACTTTGAACTTTTAGAACAATGATCGATGGCTTATGGAGTGTGAGATCGAGGGAGAAAACTTTTGAAATCTGCAACGGCAGTCTTTTTATTGTCTTACGAGCTACCTCAAGACTGTCTGCACACATGGCTTTAGAATAGAGTCTTGTGCTATTCAACTAGTGCAGTTCCTGCTCAAAAGTGTTGTGGTTTTGGAAAAAAATAGTGATTGTGATTAAGTGAGTTGTAGATGTTGATGAGCAAAACCGTGTCATGTCAGAGAGATTGCAGGAATTTTCCCAAGAGTTATTGAATTTTCCAAGAGCATCTCACCAAGTTGTGATATTGTTTTCCTGAAAAATGTTGTAGCTAACCAAAATGCTTATGATATGGTCGATATATGTTTGTTTCCTAAATTGGCCTCAATATGAGTTTTACCCTTTTGAATTGGCATCTTTTTTATTAATACATTTTACATTAGTTGGAAAAGTGTAGATATTTTTCAGCCATAGATGTAAGCAATTGTCAATTCCATGATTTGGAATGGAATTTTCAAGTTTTTATTGGATCATTGCGGATTAGAATGGATCAAATAGGTCGTGTTGGTCTGATGTTAGATCTCAAGTCTAGGTCATTATATTACTCAGGAAAAAAAGAATAAAGGTTGTTTGTTTTGTAAAAGTACTAAAACTAAATAATTTTTTTTTACCTTCCATCTGAACTTCGTGAGGATCATCTTGTCTGTTGCCACTTGTGCTTTCATGCACATAAGTCGAATGAGTAGGTGCATATCGGAATAAGTCGATATGTGAGCGTAGAGTCATTCTACTTTCCCGACTAAAAACATTAGTCATAACTAAATCCCCTTCATCGTGAATGGTTGGAAAAACTGTTGCTCTCGGTCTGCGCCATCATATTCTATTTCTTCTTGGAATTGCATCGAAAAAGTTTAACATGCATCCTAACAGTTAAAATTGTACATAATAAATTAAATGAATATCAATGTCAAATTTAGAAGTGTAAAATCTTTAAAAAATAATAAATAAATAAAAACGTTTATAAAATTTGAATACTTACTACTTGTTTGTGCATTTGTCGTATTATGTGCTTGATCTGGATAAGAAGTTTGTTCGAGATTTTCAGATATTTGCCTTCTTTGTCGATAATTTGTTCGTCACCTTGCTACTTGTTGTTCACGCTGTTCAGTAGTCAAAGCAACCCTCCTTTGTCTGGCATAATTACGCAAACTTTCCCTTTGAATTTCTCTTTGTTGCACATTAGAACTCGCGCTTTGTTCACGAATGAACAATCTTCGCCTACGCTGAGCAAGACGACGTTGCTCCAATCTTGCTGAGCATTGTTCAGTGCTCAAGTTTTGAAGGCGGAACTGTTCGAATTCTCTTTGTGGTTGTTCAGTTTGAGCATTTGATTCTGAAGCTGAGCGTTGCCTCCTTTGTTGTAGGTATTGTAAATCAAAGTATAAAACGCAGTGGGAAAAAATATTTTGATCATACCTTGTGATGATAGAACCTTGTGGGTAAATCACGTGCTTCCAGAATCTGAACAACGAATCCAGCAGTGGAGTGATACTACAAAATGAGTATCACCCATACAAGTCACAGTGCAAAATGGCTTGATCGTTGTTTAATGGGAGAGAGTCAGAGAGAGAGTCTAGGAAAAAAGGTTATGGGTAAAAACCACATAACGTATCTGATATACGTATCTCTCATCATATCAGATGTATATTATTAAATATATATCAACCAATATCTATCTATCCATCTATCCATATCCATTGATATGATAGATACATATATCCTGAATGATTATCCAAATAAGTTTGAATTTGAATTCAAACTTACATGGATAAGGTTCAAAAGGTTCAAAGGGTCATGCCACATGGGCACCCATTTTCTAACATCTCCCACTCGCACATGAGTTGGCATGACACTGCCACATCTCTATCTCAATCTCTCAAAAAATGAACAATCTCATACTAGCCAATGCACCGTGCGACTGCTGAGAACACCTGCATGTGGGAGCTCTATACTAGAAACTCAAAATGAGTCAGCATAGAGACATCAACCCAAAGAGAATAGAAATAGTGTCTCATATACCCCAGACCCATCTAATTACACCGGTAAAAAAAAAACATCTCTAATCCCTCAAAAAGAGCATGTTTGACCCTCTCAATTCTTGCAATATATTCACACTCAATCCGCCTCTCATACAAAGCGATGTGAGTTGCCGGCAGTGAATATACAACAATGGTGTAATACTAGATGATCTTCCCTTTGCTCTCATGCCATTTAGTTTAGGATTGACCGCTTTCCCAGTGATGTCCCTTAAGGCCGAATCATACATGACCGCAGGCAACATACCAAAGTAGCAGAACATCAACCCCTTACCTTATGACATAGGCAAAAGTCACAAAAGGGTACATAAATGAAAGTCATATCAATAATGCACGTAAGACTCACACGGTGAGGAAACAAGGATCCATTCTCTCACCTCATTACTCGGTCGCCAACCACATATAGTATGAATACATGCTACGGTGGAGTAACTCTTCCAAAAGAGTGACGTCATACTCGATACACCATACAGATATTAGTCTAGTCGCTTTCTAGCGCCTAACCCGAATTCTCTATTTGCCCGCCTTCCAAGCGCCAAATGAGATCTCGCATCTGGCTAATCATAACAGGCACAACATGGAAAGTGGGTACTAACATCCATGTTTGGTCCTTAACACGACCTCATCTTGGTTATAACCAAGATGAGGTCGTGTTAAGGACCAAACATGGATGTTAGTACCCACTTTCCATGTTGTGCCTGTTATGATTAGCCAAATACGAGATCTCATTTGGCACCTAGAAGGCGAGCAAATAGAGAATTCGAGTTAGGCGCTAGAAAGCGACTAGAATAAGA